TCGTCGCCGACTTACAGTCCATCATCGCCAGCTTACAGTCCGGCCTCTCCGGCGTACAGCCCGAGCTCTCCAGGCTACAGCCCGGCATCGCCCGCGTACTCTCCAACGAGTCCATCTTACAGCCCGACGTCGCCGAGCTACAGTCCCACTTCTCCGTCCTACTCTCCGACCTCTCCATCGTACTCTCCAACTTCGCCGTCCTACTCCCCGACCTCTCCATCGTACTCTCCAACCTCGCCATCTTACTCTCCGACGTCTCCTTCCTATTCTCCGACTTCGCCATCTTATTCTCCCACTTCTCCGTCCTACAGTCCCACCTCTCCCTCGTACTCTCCCACCTCGCCGTCCTACAGCCCGACGTCTCCCTCGTACTCCCCCACCTCGCCATCCTACTCTCCCACTTCGCCTTCTTACAGTCCGACGTCTCCGAGCTATAGCCCGACGTCCCCGAGCTACAGCCCGACCTCTCCGAGCTACAGCCCCACGTCTCCGTCTTACAGCCCGACGTCACCGGCTTACAGCCCGACTTCTCCGTCTTACAGCCCGACGTCGCCTTCTTACAGCCCGACTTCTCCTTCCTACAGCCCGACTTCGCCTGCTTATAGTCCGACGTCGCCGGCATACAGTCCCTCGTCTCACACTTACAGTCCCAGCAGTCTCAAGTATAGCTCCGCGAGCCCAAGCTACAGGTAAGTTACGAGGATTCTTTTTCTTTTCTTCTCTCGATCTTTTTCTTTGTTAATGGTTTTTCTTGTGCTTGTTCCAGCCCGACCTCGCCCTCCTCGACGTACTCGCCTACGAGATGAGACGAAGGAATGTAAGAGTTTTTTTATATGAGAGGTTTGTGAGGTTTTGCTCGCGTTTGGTTTGGTTTGACGGATGAGTTGTTCCAGCAGAGGCGATGGATGATTAACACACAAGTTTACTGAAGCTGTCCACAACCTGTAGAGCAGCCAGAAAATAAGAAGTTGGAAGAGAATGTAACTATTGCAGCTTATGACAGTTTTATTTATGATACGCATTGGAGGTCGTCCTTGGTGATGCTAGGGAGCATGCGCGATTTAGAGAGAAAATGCATGACTCTAAGTAAGATGGAATTTTTCTCTCTTGAGTGAAATGCTTTTAAATCCACTTCGCTTGATCTTATTATTGATTTGATATTCTATAAGTTTCTAAAGAAAATTCAATCATGTCTTGAAGTTCTTTGTCTGGGTTTTTAAAAAGATCTACTTGCCTTACTTCGTTGTAGGTGATTAATATCATTCGCACTATCTCAAAGTTAAACCTTTTGATGTTTTTAGGTAGATCTTTCTGATGACTGATGAAGTAACTTTCATTGAGTTCCTTTTTGGTTTTATTAAGCAAGCTTTGCAAATATATTAATGCATCTGCCTCAGTTGCACCCGGATGATCTTTCATATAACAAGAAACTCCTTGTGCTTGTTGTCCGAGTTTCATCTCAATCTAAAACGCAAAAATAAAAGATTTTTAGTGCTTAAGAATACTATTCTCAGAGAGAGAGAGAGCAAACCTTATATGTTTTCATATCATTGGAAAGCCTAGAGATGATACGATCAAGCTTGAGAGGTTTGCTATCATAAATAGTATTTAATAACTCTTCTGTTAAAAGCTCACCACAAAAGAATATGCCCATAAGTATGTGGACCCAACTTGAGACACTAACTTCAGCATTTTCCATGTACTCCTCAAAACTTGGAATATACCCTTGAATTTTCCAACGAGCATCAGCAATGATAGATTTTATGACTTTTATGCACTGAAGATTAATGTAAATAACATGCCATAGAAAAAACTGATTTAAAATACTTACAATTCCTAATAAGTATTTGTAAATGAATTCTGGAGATAGATTCTGATGTATTTTGGAAGCTGCCTCAGTCATGACAAGAACAATAGTATAAAATTCTTGAAAGAGAATCTTATATTCTAGAGAAAGTTCTTGTGACATAGAGATATCCCACCTGGAAGAACAAAAGAGCAAGCATTACTATAACTTGTAAAAGTTTATATATACAACCTTTCAATCACATTTTCGAGATGATCAAGCTCTTTAATGTTTGTTGCGTAGTCCAAAAGATCATCAAATAATGTGTTTATGCAACAAGTCTTTATAAAAAAAACTCTCAACTGGCCAAATTCTTCCTCATGGAAAGTTGAACAAATAAGATAGTAAAGATAGGGGATCATGTTGATATTGGCTTTCAGTCTAGTAGATGGGATATTTTCAAAACCTGATGAATGCCACCAGCTAAAAAATAAAAACACACTAAGTTAGAACATCAGAAGACTAAGAAATATTTATTTGCCTACTTGACCAATTCTATCATCTCAGAAGGTTGATATGATTGACACTGTTGAGCATATCGATTTGCAAGCTCCAAAAGCACTTTGTTATTCACTAGAGGCAACCTTTAACAAAAGAGAGGTAAGAGAAAGTTATAGAATTTTAGAGGTTTAACTATGAATGTCACTTACCGGTAAATAGTTTTACCAATCCAAGGATCATCCACACCATAGTGCTTAATATAAGCATTATTGTAAATTCTTGGCAAGCAGTCATGAAATGGATTTGCTAGCTCGAATGCCACCTGTAGAGACAACAAACACATTAGAGTTTCCCAGCTATTCATGAATCTCAGACCTCTCCCATGAGGTTCTTCTTCATTGCCCATTTATCCATGTGAGAGCTCTCAACATTAAGCAGATAACCATCGGAGTACTTGAAAGTCTTTGTAAGAATCTCTTCATTCGGGAAATCAATCTGGGAAGCCCGATGCAAGTTGAGCATTTCAGAGACCCCATGAGAGACTTCACCAATAAAGCAGCAAAACTTGTCTCCAGGCAGCCAGAACTGGTTGAATGCATCTGTACGTAATTCAAACTCATAGATTAATCCACTACAAAAACTATTTATACCTGAAGATACATTATACCCATGCATCCGAAGGATACGGAATGCCATTGCTGTGTCGTCGATGTCCTTGACAAGGCACGTAGATCCCCATCCAATTCCTTCGTTTGTCCAAGAGCTGACCACCATTTAAAGAAGAGCTGCAGAAGTATTAAATGTTCAAAGGCTGTACCTATACACGTAGTTGAGGACAGCTTTGATCTCATCTCTGAAGAAGACGTCAATGCCCAGGCGCTCAATAGTGTCGACCACCCATAAACTTTCGAAAAGATCGATGGGGTAATGACACGGAACTGCGAAGTACAGCCGATTAACACAAAGGATTTGAAGAAGATAGCTAGTTTACCAGCATAATTTTGATCTTCCATAGCTTTTTGCAAGTATTGCAAGGACTTCCTGTCCTTGGTCTTCAAGTAAACACATGCTGTTGACGAGGGCGAGCTCAAAAAGGATCCATCTCTGGACTGAAGCTTAAGGATCTTTTGCCAGTCCATCTCAAGGCCTTGAAGGCCCTCCAAGGAGTATAGCAACGTCGTGGGAGACGAATGAAGCCTATCTAAGGGAATCCTGGATGAACACCAAACGTTTTCAAAGCAGATATTACGCACAGAAAAACTCACTTGGCCAATTTCTTCTTGGTGGAAATCTCTAGCAACCTTGTGAACTCTGTGTCATACGGAAGATCAAGGCCCAGCTGCTTTGCTTCTTTGAGCATCATTGGGAACGTCACCTCGAAACCTGACAAGAGATCTCCATCGTCTTGCTTCAGCTTAATCATGTTCTCACGCAAAAACTTCGTGCCTGTGAAGAATTAAAAAGAGTCCAAGGTGTAAACAGAGCAAAAGAACGAGAAGCACACCTTGCGTAATGCAGCTGTGCCCGATGTCCCAGAGCTTGAGCGTGACCAGGCAGGAGAGCGTGGATAACACTCTGTCATAGAGTTGCAAGTGACGATCATAACCCCATGATCCATCCGAAAGTTGACTGCTGATGATCCACTCCAAGGCCTCCGGAAACTCGGGAAGAGAGGAGTCGGATTCAGACCCGATTCGAGCCACCCAGGCGGTATCATAAGCCGAAGGACTGATTTCCCCCTTGCCACTCGCGAGTTTCATGAGCCATCCCTTTACTTCCGCGACAAGCAGTGACGTTTCTCTGTGATCAAGCTCCTCGACGTGATCGGCAGGGACGTGGAGAATGCCTTGGTATGGCTGTTGCTTCTTTTTCTGGTTCTCCTGTAGGAAGAAATCTCCACTCAAGCTTGTGCTTCGACTTACTGGAGCCTCAGCTGGCTTCTTGTTATCAAAGCTCAGTGAACAGCAGCTAATTCTAGTTGCGGGAGCTGCATTAACAGGCCAGTGTTAGTGCGAAACTTGACAAATTCTCGATTTACTTAAGCTTCCTTTCCGCGCCTGTGCGTTGCTCTTGATGATACCTCTGCTGGACTTGAGGCTTGCACTGGTGCCAGTGTGTTTAAAGCTGAACAAAACCGATGCCATTGCAGAATCTTGCCTCCCTGCCTGCCTGAGACTCTTCTTGTCTACAAGCTTTGCCTGCCATATTTTAAGTAGCACTATCTAGTCCCTGTTGCTTCGTTTCTTTCACAGAGAGTTTCACGAGTGGAATATTGTCTCCTGTAAGTACTACAGTAACCAGCTGAAGCACAGAGCGAGGTTTGAAATTTGACATGATTTGGAGCATGCATACCAATGTCACGATTAAGGAAGAATCTATCAAGACATATGAAGTAAGCAAGGGTTTTTACCTTTATTGTAGTAGTTAGGCATTTGGGATTATGCTTGGCATTGATTAGGCACTAGGGATTATGCTTGCTCTAGAGTTTTTCATGGAGCAATACAACTTGATCTTGCTTATCTAAACTTTAATGGGTTACTTCTCTATTTGGAGGCTCTTGACATATGGGGTATTTATGTTCAGTGTTTGACTTTAAAGGCATTTATATTAGCAGTAGTGCCTAGCACCTTTCTTCAAGCCAAGGCAAATTCTAATAATTGGTATCTATTTTTTAGTCTTTCTTGTGGCTAGGAGCTTAACACACACTGTTACAGCGTAAACATTTGTACTGCTATAAAATATACTTTATTGTTGATATTTGAGACTTGCTGGCCAAATGTGGGAGCTTATGAAACTTCTTTGATGCTAGAGATAGTTTAGAGGATATAACTGAGCCTTTTAGGTGGAGCACCTTGAGATATGACCCACTTTCATGCTGTTATATGGTCACTAAGTTGGGAGCAAACTTAAATGCTCAAGAGTACATGGAAAATTCAAGGATATATTTGGGCTTGGAGTGGTAGAGATGGCTTGAAAACACCCTCCTTTGTCCACAAGCTGGTGGTTGAGCTGTCATGAAGCGCTGAGCATTTGAGGTGGGTGACGTCTGCTTTTGACCACAGAGATACACGCTCAGGCAGAGAGCCATGACATATTTGGGCCATTTCCATGACAGTGTATCAACTCGCCTCCTGCATCATCCCGGATAAACAAGGTTTTCCATGTATCGGACCATAGGCCACCACTAGAGGCAGTAGAGCCTGTCACCTGTTCTTCTTGGAGAGCGACAGCTTCTTTTCCCGGATCAGGTAGTAGGTCGATGTCCGCAGGCACAGGACTATCCCACGTTATGTGACACATGGGAGGATCTTGGCCAGCTTTTCGAATGGACTCCAAGATATGGCGCCTAGGGGTACGGAAGTCTTTTTCCCCTTCCAGCTCAGCTATCTTGAGCATGATGGAACACGGCAAATTAGAGCAATCTACACAAACACGATTTGTCGTGTAGAAACACTCTCCTTTGTCCACAAGCTGGTAGTGCAACGTTTGGAATCAGAAATCGAGTAACAGAAAGTTTATACTTCGAAAATGTTTGTCGTTTAAGTTTAACTTAAACGACAAACATTTTCGAAGTATAAACTAACAAAGGAAGAACTTGCTCCGAGGGTGAAGGGCGCTAAAATCTTCCAAATGTTTTTGACAGACCATGTCGAAGTCCAAAGACAGAAACCTTGTTTCTTGGAGGGCTACGCTCACAGTTTTTGCCAAGAATGAGAATTTTCCAAGGAGATGAATGCACGAGAGGCATGTAATCTTCTGGAATGCGATTTCGGCTTACGTCCAAGTCGCGAAAATGGATGAAGTGCAATTCTCATCATCTCGCCCTCGCGGAATACGAGCGCCAAGAATTGAGAGAATGCCCCGTTGGACCTTGGAGCCTGGCAAGCATACGCCCAGCACAGATCCGCAAGAATACATAATATCATACACTTGACTCCCTCAAATCCCATGAAGTCCATGGGTAGGAAAGTTGGGCTCAAATGTCCTTTTAAGCGTTTGATGGGCAGCGATGCCAGGATCGATTTAATTTATTAACACTAAACAATTAGTTTGCCATTTCATACTTTTTGGATCACACAAAGGAGAGTTTACCATCCCATCTTTTGACAGTGCCTGCGTACTTGTCTTTCACGTTATAGCAGTCAATAAAGATCGCCACGACCTTTTTGTTCGCCCGCTGAAATCTTACTCCAACATAAATCACTCCATCATGATCTGGTCGGGTCTGAATGGCAGGAACGTCCATCAAGAAATCAACAACAAAAACTTGCTTTCCATGCTGCTCATGATTTGGCTTTGCTCTTTGCATGCACTCCGCCAGCTGCTCCCGTCTACAATTCACCAAAAGCTCAAACCCCTTGGTTCCATCTTTGACGAGTGTATCTAACCGTTTTTGAGATGGCTTTGACGCATCAATCTTCTCTTTCACTTCCGGAAGGACAAGAAAATCACGCATTGGATAAGCATGCACTAGAACAGCTTTGAGTCGGCACATGAAAGCAAACTGAAGAGCGTATTCAGCCTGGTTCTGACACTCCTCCATGGTCTGAAGAACTTGCATGATAACCCACTTCCCATTAACAACACCCTGCACAGGTGGATCCTCAACCTCCTCACTCGTGATCACACATTGCTTGAGCAATTCGGTAAGCAACAAGGGAGAAGAGATCCCCAACGAGTCACCGGATCCTGCCTCTTCACCGCCAAGACGCCTTCAGCTAGCAAGTCCCGCACGCTCTCCAGTTCTTGGTAGGGCTTCTCCACTGCTTGTACAAATCCCATGACCCGCTCATGCCCCTCCTTGCTTCTTGCCTGCGTATTGAAACTGTCCATGATTCGCCAGTACGTGGCTTTGTCGAAAATGTAAGTCCCGAGTTCATACGAACGAACGCTCTGTAGCCAATCCTTGATCATGAACAACCAGTCCTTTATGCCCCGAGGTCAGCTCAAACACTGACGCAGCTATTTCCTTGACGTCCTTGACTGCGCCACCATAGTCTTCATTTGCTTGTTCCAGGAGTGAAACAATGTCGTCCAGATCAAAACCTGACGCTCGAACGTAGTAATCGTGTGGTAAGGGCGATAGCCTCCTCGGCTCCTCGATCAGACTCTTTCTTCCGTATCTTCCGTCCAGGAGATCTCGCACAGTCTCCACTCCTATCAGCATGCACGACTTGAGGTTGTACAGATCCTTCCTCTGCTTCACATCACGAAGGGTGGCGAAGAAAACATCCAGGCAGTGATCGGACAAGTTCAGAAGCGAGTCGGCTTCATCCACCACGAGACAGACCGGAACTTTGAGAGTGCTCCTGTGAAACAGTGACGAGGAAGCGGCTGCGTCCGACCCCGTTGCAGAACCAAAGTACTTCGGCGATACGAGACGAAATGAAACGAATCAAAGTATCAAACATGGTGGACGTGCTCCAACTGGGATTCGCGTCCGCCAGGCCACCCAAGCGAATCGGGTACAGTAAACCACTGTCCCTCATCTGGCGCATAACAGCCATAGCGGCAGTTGTCTTGCCACTTTACCTCGGCCCCAGCAACGCACAGTACTTGCCGGCTTCCAGATCACTCCTAAGCCCGGCGTAGATCTCTCCAGGCTCCACAAAGTAATTGGATTCGGGTGTCACAGCGAGGCCAACCCCAAACCCCCGCCTGTAGCACGTCGGGGACGCTCTTGCTCTTGGTCGAAAACTTACGCGATGGCTGAATGCATCCAGAAGGACCTTGTGCAGGGCGTAGCGTCCAGGCAGAGTGAGCTGCAACTCATAGGCGCTCGCCTTCTTCAGCACTGCAGTGTTTACAAAGCCAGCACGCTAGAGCTTGGACAAATCCTCTTCCGTGAAGGCCGAGAGCTCCTGTTGATCGAGACCGGCTTGGAGCAGCGCCTCCTTCACCACACTGCACTGAGGAGCCGCCTGGATCATTTTCTTCGATCCATAGCTGCAAGCGCACAGGTGAATGCGTCCTACCATCGCCATTAAGCCTTCGCGCTGGAAATTAGGGCTGATATTACTTGTCCAGATTTTTTAAAGGCAATGGCGAAGCTGTGGATCGCACTAATGTTCTTGCTCATTTCATTTCCATTGCAAGAATCATCAGCGCAGGAAATCGTCAACATAACGATCTTGCACAATGCTGTCAAAGAGGGCGCAGGTATTATAATGTTTTTCTATGGTACAAGGATTTTTTCTACAAATCTTTCTATCCAGTGTGTCTCGATGGAAGCCCACCAGCGTATTACTTGCGGAGAAGAAATTCCCCAAATTGGCTCCTGTTCTTGCGGGTATTTGATGATTATACAAAGAACTTGTTTCCAATTTTCCATAGGGTGGAGGCGTGTGCTATGGCGACAGCAAAGAAAGGTCCTGCTTGAGCCGCAGCACATCAGAACTTGGATCATCTCAACAGATGAGTGAGCAAATCAGCCTAAACTTTGGTATTTTCAGCATTTCTAAGAAGAACAATCCAGGTCTTTTTTCTTCTTTTTCTTTTGGTAGTGTAAGGATAAAACTAACTAGCTTAGAAGCTTGCAGATTTCTGGAACTGGAATCATGTAGTAATCACTTATTGTGATGGTGGAAGCTACCTTGGAGATGTTGAGAAACCTGTCCAAGTTTTTGATACTGAGACAAACAAAGTAAACAGTATTTGGAAAGTATTTGTACTATCATTTGGTATTGCAGACCCGCTATCTTTACTACAGAGGGCGAAAAATATGGAATTACACCATCAGAAACCTTCTGCAGAAAGGCATGAAACATGCAAACCAGGTAAGGTAAAAGATAATATTTTCTCTAACTATGATTTTATTTTATTTTTTCAGGTTCTTCTATCTGGCTGTTCAGTAGGGGCTACTGCCACAGCAGTTTATTGCAACGATTTCAAACAGTTATTACCTCATGCAACAGTAAAATGCTTAATGGATGGTGGGCTTTTTGTGAACCTGTAAGTTATTATAGTATATATACTATAATCGTAAGTAGAGGTTTAATTTTATTACAGGCCTGATATTACAGGAAACTACTCGTTGCAATCCATTTTTGACATAACAGTGAGGGAACACAATATTACATTGGGCATTGAAAGAAATTATGTTCCAACAAATGCAGCATATAAGGTAAATATTCAATGTTTTATTATTATTATTATGAAAGATATTCTATTTCAGCAACTCTTTCCTCCATATATTTTGCCATCTATTAAGCAACCCATGTTTCTTCTTAATTCTGCATACGATACTTGGCAGATTAGAAACATATTACTATACCCAACTGCGGAATGGAGACCATGTGTCTTAAATTCATCTTCTTGCCATCCCAGGCAGCTCCAAATTTTACAAGGTACAAAAGATATAAACAACACTCATATTCACAGTTTATGTTTTTTCAGGCTTTAGATCAAGTTTCCTAACAAATATTTCACCTGCTTTTGAGAAAGAAAAATGGGGTTTCTTCATCAATTCATGTTTTCACCATTGTCAAGGTGACGTTTCCACAGTTCGAGTAAATAACCAGGTAGAATCAATATTTGCTTTTGGAGGTTTTACTATCTAGTTTGTATTGGCAGACAATTCTGGAAGCAATTGGAAATTGGATGTACGAAAGACAAAAGAAAGTCATCCTAGTGGATTTTCTTTCATGGCCAAATAATCCAACTTGTGTAACATATTTTGAAGATACTTGGCTTTAAGAGACAAATATATTTTTATAAAATTTCAAAACCATTTAGAAAATATTACACGTATAGATATGTTTCCATGGTTTATGCATGGAACCATGCTAAAGTTTCCTACTCAAAAGTGTTATGGCAGTGCTGGTGTTCTGGAATTTTATAACCGGGGCTTAATTTATATACAACATTGGCGGGAATAACAGCAAACAAATCCCTCTACACTAAAGTGGACGATCTCGTTCTTGACATGTTTTTTCGTTGTTGATCTCGAGTCCGACCATCCACTGTAGAGTTTTACCACTGCGGCTGGAGTAACAAACTCTATGCTGCTAAGATCCAAGCATTTCAATCCCGCAGCCAATGACAACGCCTTGGATAATTGCTGGACGACTCCATCCTCTACCTCTCCTTCGTCTTCACTGTCTGCAACAATCTCAGTGCTGGAAACTTTGGTTGCATCACGGCAATTGCCAGCCAGTCTCAATTCCGCAAGGAAACTGTTACCTGCGAAAGCCATAACAAGAAGTTTAGATATCTGAACTTTCTCTCCAGGGTCGTACCTCGCAAAGATTTCAAGAGGCTCACGACACCATTTTGAGACAAGCCACAGTCGCTCAAGTCTAGCTTTCGCAGCACACAATTTGGCTTCTTGATTTCCTCCACAATTAATTGGACAGACTAGAAAAGCGAGAACATTAGATCACGATTGTGCTGACATGTTGATTACTTACCTGCGAGCTCAAATGGTTTCCAGCTAAACTCAAAGTCGCCAGTGCTGGACTGGTGACGAGATGCCTGTACAGACGATCACCAACCTCGGGTAATATTTTACAGCCGGTCACGTCTACTGTGGAGAGGTCTGACGAGTTCTCACTGATGGCATTACCAATTCTCTCCCAAAATTCCTGCAAAAGCCATACAAGTTACTCCAAAGCACCAAAAAGGTGCGACTCACAGGTCTCATTTCAAGCTGCCTCATTAAGAGCTGGGACAAGGTACTCGTTTCCTGGATTAAGTGAACAATGCCTTCCACTCCCGTGGGGCCACATACCTGTAACCCGGATATATCCAAGGCCTCGAAACTATATCGGACAAAACCGACCAAAAGCATTTCGAAAACCATCGAAAGTATTTCATTTTTTTGTTACCTTGGAAGTGTTGCCAACTTCTTTAATAAAGCTGTAAGAGCATACCCAGCTATCGGGTTGTTTTTCCCTGAAGAAGCAAGTCAGCATTTTACTACAGATTCAACATACTTGCCAATTGATAGCCTTTGCAAGCATGATCCTGATTGCAGCGCATTCGTGAGTTTCTGGCAAGTCAGAGTGGTCAGGCCGCACTCTTCCACTTTCAGCGTGTGCAATCCTGGTTCAAACTCAGGTTACTCCATACAATAAAAGCGAAGTAAAGACTCACTAGGTGCGTGTTCTAGTATTCGAGCCAAGTCATGTCCCACACCATCTGTAAGCAAGTTTCCGGATAGAATGATCACTTCTAGGCGCCGCAAGGTGATGGAACATTTGGAAATCTGCTTGGACAACCGCAAATATAAAGAAACGTATGCGAAAGTCTAACCTCAGAAAGTGAATTTGCGACCAGGTTGTTGTCGTGCAAGTCGAGCAACAAACCAGTGTCTGAGTTTTTCGTATCGCCTAGAATTTTCTGAAGACCCGTCAACCTTCCTGAAATCAAAAGCTTAAGGATTTTGGTAGATGCGAAAGTAGTAAAAAATACTTACCCAATTGATTGTGAGCAAGTTTTATGGAGAACAGTGAGCCAATATCGTCTAACGCCAGGAGCAAAGGCCAGATAGATACGTCGTCAAGGTCACAGTCGCATGCGTCTACTTCGCCAATTTTAATCTGCTGTACAACAAAATGTTTCTTAACTTAAAAGAAACATTAAGACAATAAAAAAAAAAACCTTAAGCTTGCTCTGGAGCTCCAGACTTGGCTTGAATTTATGTTTCTTACACGCTAAATCATATCGTTCGACCAACGGGACCGGTATCCATCCTAAAGCCAACAAAAAACTGTAAGGAAAACCAACGGAAGTAAATGACCACACCTGTTATAGACACTGCCACCTCGTGTGAATCAACTTTAGCCAGGTCTTTGTAAATGTTACCAGAAGGTAGTAGGGCACCTCCTATGGATAACTCCCTCAAAATAGGATGAGGACCTACGAGGAAAGCCATGATAAGTTTCTCGCAGACAAAGCAGTAATATCAAGCACCTTCTGGCTTTGCAGACTTGTAGAGACGTAAAACTTCCTCCAAAAACGTTTCTACAGTTATGAACTCTGGATGCCGAGAAGACAAGGACAAGCATTTGAGATTCACATGAAGAACATGCCCGTCTACGTTGACACGAACCACCTGAGATCAAATGGATAGAAGAAGATTAGTGTCCAAGCCATACCAGAAATACAAAAGAAGCTTACGTTGGAGTCGCCATGAAGGTTAGAAACATTGTCGACGTCCATCCGCACGGCTCTATCGGCGCTCGCATCCGAGCTCTCATTCGGAGTGAGAGGTGGAGGTGTTCTAGCTCTATCGGCGCTAGCACCCGAGCTCTCATTCGGATTACAAGGTGGAGGCGTTCTAGCCAAGCATTACTTGGGAAAGAAAATCACCGTTTTCGCGGAGCTGGATTTCGTACTTCGCGGATGTGGAAGGCCCACTTCCTGATTACGTTCGCGGTGATCCCAGGGGTAGCCTGGAAACCAGATTCTCCAGCTCTGCTGGCACTTTCTTGCTCTTCTGTGTCATCATCAGATAGCACGATCCGGTGGCGTTTCCGAGAATTTACCGGTGGGACTTTTTCCGTTTCTTGGTGCTCAGAATCGCTGTCCGTTTCTAAGCAAACTAGCTCATCTTCAGCAGCAGAATGGCCTGGCCTGATCAGGGATTTTACTTTCGTAATCTTGGACTCCACTTCTCTGCATGAGAAAAGAAAAATTAAACGTCATTGGAGCACTATTATAAATAGTTAGTCCACCTTGCTCGGTCGAAGTCCTCAAAGCGAATATTATAAGCATACTGCATGTTTTCCAGCGCGCTCTTCTGCTGCTCCAGCATCTCTGTTTCTCCTTCAGACACCGCCAATCTATGTCCAAAAGTAAAACTCAAATGACATAGAAACCGTTCCTTACTCGTATGCTTCCTCGTAAGCCTTAAGAGCAGCTTCCCATTCGCCATTAGCGTCCAGAGCATTACCATAGTTGTTCTTAGCAATGGACTGGCCCTGCAAGTGAAAACATGTCAAGAAACTACAAGTACATCTGCCATTTTGATTTCTTTTCCTCAAACTTACTTCCAAGTTCTTCGATCTTTTGGATATCTGAAAGCTTTTCAAGTGCCACTTTTTGGCCTTCTCGAACGATCGCAGATGATAGTATGCTTGTGCCACCATTCCAAAGGCGTCACCTATTTTTCCAGAGTCTCCAAGACGCTTTGCCGCCCGCTTTTGCTGTTTCGTCAGCTTAAGAAACTGCAAGCATACACTTTCATTCTCGGTCAAGTCTCACAAGTAAAGAAAAGAAATAAATAGCACTGACTTACCATGTCCCAATTGCACACAGTTTCCGCCTGGCTCACGAGCTTGCCAAGTAGAATGTACTCTTTCTTGACGTTTCTTTTGTCTCGTTGTAACTTTTGAAGTTTAAGCAGCCCCTTAGATAACTCCTGCATAATCTGTTCCGCGTCTTTCACCACCTGGATATTTTCTCTCACGTTTGCAGCGAGAGCGTCTTCATCCTGCAGCTTCCCCACAATCGTAAGGGCGCGTTTGTAAATCTTCATCGCGTCCTCATAGTTCTGCGTCTTGAACGAAAGGTCTCCCAAGTTTATCAGCCCCTTAACTTCGCCTTGCAAGTTCCCAACCACCTTGCAAATCATGATATCGAGCTGCATGTGTTCCTTGGCGTACTGCCAGTTCCTTCGCTCGGTATAGAGCCTGCCAAGGTTGTGATGGATCCTGGACCGAACCTCGTTGTTCGGAGCAACTTCTTCGTCGTCGCAAATCTTCAGAGCGTGGTACAAGTACTTCTCAGCCTCTCTGTGGTTTTCGAACACCATCTTCATGAGCCCCAGATTGTTATGGGCGTCGGCGAGCATGCACCCAGCGTTCCCTTCCTGTGGCATCTGCGCTACCAGATTCAATGCAGTTGTGAAAAACTCTTGGCATTTCCTGATGATGGTCGAGAAAGGAATTCCAGTATCGTCGTCTCTCTCGAAGAGATCGAGGTAGCTCCGACCAAGCTGTGTGCTTGCTCGCTGCTGCTCGAGTATATCACCAGTCTCTTTGGCTAGCTGGTAGTGTCTCTCCTATTAGGATGGAGAAAGGGAACGATCAGCAGAGAAGAGGAGAACAAAGATGGCTGAATAAAACTACAAAGGAAAGAATGATTTTTCTCAAAAAAAGGAAGAGGGCATCGAGAGAAAAGAGGTTCTCTTTTCTTTGGGGGTGAGAGGAGTACCTGATAGACGAGAGCTTCTTTGTAGTCTTGCATTCTGCTGTAGATTTCTCCCATGGATTGGCAAGATGGCATCAATCCAGCAGGAGACATGCTCCCAGAAGCCTTTCGACCTGACGCGATCTCATAATCCAGGCGAAACCACTTGAGCGCCTCCACATACTCGCCCCGATCTTTGAACACATGCCCAATCTGGTTTGCCCATCGCGACTCCTCTTCCCTGTCGCCGATCTGCTTGGCTTCCCTGTAGCTTGCCTTCATCGATTCCACGTTGCCACATTGCCCGCCGCTCTTGCGCCTCGCCATCGCTCTCGCTCATGGATTGGCAGAAGACCCTAAAGCTCAACAATCCTCCTAGGGTTTTG